TTTTTCATGTTTCTTTATTCAATTATTTCCGATGATCTGCAAGTGTCCTTATATTTATGACCAGGAAGTGTATATATCAAAATCTTAATTACCTCCTTCTCCTTTCAATTTCAAATAATGAAATCATCCGGGTGACAATTAAATCCCACTTTTTATTAGTGATGTTGGCCGGCTAAGAACTTAAATAAATCCCAGTCGATATAAAAACTTTTCAGATGGTATCAAGCTTTCCGATGTTATTATTGCTGCTACTGTCGTTATTATAAATATCGTTGTTATTACTATTGTTGTTATTAACATCGTTTTTATTACTATCATTTACTGTTGTTATTATTATTATAATATCCCACCATTATTGGTTATTCGAATTATTTATTTTATTCGTTATGAATTTGAGTATTCGAATTACATTGAAAGAGTTTATTCGAATAACAATAATTCGGGTATATTACAAATAATTCAAACAAGTATTACATTACTTTTATCCTGCAACGAATATTGTGTTTTTGTTATTTTAAATAATGCAGATGGACCCATCTCAACCAAGTATCTATGACATTAAATTTTGCGCTAAAGTTCCAGACGTAAAAGCGAATGTCAAGAGAAATTTTTTTTAGCCGGCTTAGCCGGCCAACATTAAAATTACACCCAACTATTACAACATCCATTTAGTATTTTCATACGAATAATTGTATTTTATAAATCAAATGATTTTTTTTACTGGGACATTAATAAAGCTGGAATCAAAATTTGTATAAATAATTCTATTCAGTTATATCACGGTTGAATCCTTACATTGATTTAATAATATAATAGATTAAAACCTTGGTTTTCCTATAATCATAGCTTGATAAAAATATAAAAATCAAATTATTGCGATTATTAATAATATTAATGTGTTAATATTCCGATCCAATAATAATAATAATGCATCTTTACAAAAAAGAACAGATTAGAAAAGTTCTTCATAAATTTTATTTTTCTTTCATATTAATAATCGATTTTTATTTCTATATATATTTCTATATAATAGATACACATTTTTAAAGTTATTAAAAAAATTATGGATACTCAAAACTTTAGCAACAATTATCCATTACTACTGACTTACTCTTTTATCTTCTTTGACACACTTTGAGTGGTCCTCATATTTTCACAAAGTATTTGGATTTTTAAATATTCTTGATTGATGTACCAATGGTGATGTTTTAACTTGAATTGGTGCATTTTGTAGATGAAGATTGTGGTGTCTCGACTATACATGCTGCCCAAATCCCGAATGTATAAAGTGAACTTGCGGTAGCCTATCAAAGAATTCCCAAACCCATGGCATTCTGCCTCCAAACCAATAAGTGTAGATGTACAAAGTAATTTTAGATTTGGGATTCTTTTGATTTTTGATTTTTAATTTGGGATACTTTTCTTGATATCGATCCAAGAGTTGACAAAAACATTATAAATAAACATACAGAGACCCAACTGTTTGAAACTGCAAAATTTTGTTCTGATGAATACATTGGATGTACAAAAAATATTTATTCCAAGTCTATGTTTAGCAACAATATGATTTGTATAGATGAAGAAGAGTTGGAAAGAGTATCCGAAATTGCTATGGGAAGGTTGTATAATAAATATCTCAAGTTTCAACTCATAAATTTCAATTATTCATATAAAATCTGCTTCAATTCAATGGTGTGATTTTAAATAAATATCTATGTTGGTTCAATGTTCGTGATAATCATCAGAATTCTTATTTTGTAAACGTTTATTTTTTATTAATTATCAAAATAACAAGTTTAAACAATTATTGAATTAGTAAATTTCTTTATATCATCAATGTTACTACAATTAATAACTTCAGAGGACGTAATTTTATTTCCCAATGAATTCTCATTTATTTATTTTGTTGAATATTGGAGAAAAATTTGTAGTAATATATGTTCTTGTAAATATAACGGTTGGATTGGATTTATTTTTGAAGTGAGATTATATAAAATGTAATGAAATTGATTTTCTGGTTGATTTGTGTTATTGGTGTTTGCTGGTAAGGTTGTTATGAGTGGATATGGAATGCCATTCATCATTATAAAGGTAATCATACTTGCAACTTTTTATATCATTATCTATGCTAATGAACTTTCCTTTACTAAAAGATTGTGGCTCATTATTTTGATTTAATTGTTCAACAGAAATTAAAACTATTAATAAGCCACTGATGTTTGAAATAAATAAATTTATTTTTTTTAAAAAAAAAGCAAGAAATTCACAAATATATTTGTATATACAAATGGTTATGTTTATTTTCACCTATAAAAACAACAGAATAGATTTTCTTCAATTGTAAAAAAAGCTCATGAAGAAATCAAACAATTTTCTTGTTTTGTTCATGTACATTATCAACTAATGAGCACTTGGCTAAGCCGACTAAACTATTTGGTCATACGTTGAGTCAAGTTGACATGATCGACAAACCAGTTGATCAGAAAGATATATCCGTGTATTTTTATTATTATCCCTCGCCAGACTAAAGCTGTATCCTTACAAACATAGGAATAAATGTCAGGCCTAGGGTCCTGTGTTGCGGGACCTCTTAAACCCACCAACTCTCATGTGGTTTTTAAAAGGATAGAAGTTCATTTCTGTATATCATTTTTAAAAAAATAGTTCTGTTATGACATAGGTTAGGACCCAAGCTTTAATGTGACAGAGGGATTTTTTTTAAAATATTGGTGGGTTGTTGACTTTTTAGTATATGTATTTTATTATGTTCGCGAGGAATTTGGCCGCTTGAATTTGGGGACATCCGCAGATCCTTTTTTAACATGTTCATTCCAATAAATTGATGCTGTGTAACATCACTGATTTTATATACGGTGCAGATCATCTATAATCATTAATTGCTTATAGTAACAATTGGTCAACTTCAAAATACTAAAACAAAAAAAAATTATATCATTTTAAAAAATTTAACCGATAAGTTTTATTGTTCATGACTCGAGCTTCAAAAGTTATCGGCTGGTTTTTTCTTAAACTGAAAATTGGCAGAGCTTAGTATTTCCAATGCTTTAATGTGATAAAATGTAATATTATGAAAAGTGCTAGATTGTGCTTTGTTATCAACACTCTGAAAATTTATACTTAAACTACCATTCTTCTCGCAAGTTATGGGAACATCAGTTGCCAAATAAACATTTTTTATTCCAGTGTTTTTTCTTATTCCTTGTATTTTTTTAACTAATTTTCTGGCACAATTTGGTAGATTCTCCTGCAATGCTCCTTCCATCCTCCAATGTATCGCAATATATGATGATTCAAGCCGATTAGCAATTTTTGAAGCTTCATTAATTATATGCTCTGCGTAAGGAATTGGTTCGTACGTGCCTGGAAACATTGTTTGTTTCAGTATAGAATGAATTAATAGTATTTGTGAATCGGAATTTAAATCTTTAATCATGAATTTAGAAAATTCTTTGCGTCCCTTTACTGATTTTAGAAATCCATCATTTAAAATACGAATTTTTTTAATTTTTTCTATGTTCATTTTGAATTTGTATAAAATTTTATTACTATGACGATTAATAAAATACATCTGTTTTTTATAATAATAATTGGAAGAATTGTTTGCAATTACAAAACTTTCATAGTGTTTATTTTGTTTATTTTGCTGTTGTGGCCTTTCTTCAGTAAGTAAAATGTGTTCAGCAGTAATTTTTTTATAATTTGGTTGCTTTTTAATCCATGATTTGTATTCTTCTTGAGGAACAAATTTTGCATTTGGAAACATTTTTTTCAATAAATTAAAATCATAATAGAAAGTTGGGGAAAGTGGTAAAGATGCTGCGAATCTTGATGAGCCAACATTTGATATCACTAGGATACGATCTAAAGATTCAGCCAATTGAATGAATGACCTTATGTGTGAATTGGCTTTAGTTTCTTGCTCTGGTAGAATATATGGGAATAAGAATTTACATTTATCATTGCAATCTTCTAATATTGATGATGATGATGGTGATGATGTTGATGATGGTGATGATGTTGATGATGGTGATGATGATGATGATATTTCTTCGACTTTTTCGGTATTATTTTCAAATATATATTTGTATAATGAGAAAGAATATATTACTGCAAGTAATATTAAAAATTTTTTAAATATATAAACGGTTTTTTTTGTATCTATTTGTCTGTACATTTTATTTTATTCAAAGTTATTGTTGTTTAATAATAATAATTTTTTAAAATTAATTTACAAGTATATATAATAATTTATATATGCTTTTTATTTATTAATTATTGGGTATTGTTTGTTTGTTTGCTTAAAAGTTCGTGGATTTTAAATTAGTCAATCAGAATTTTTTTATTATTATTCTTATTGCATATCAGTCAATCAC